TATAACAGTAATGTTGACTGTCTACTCGTGCTATAACAGTAACTTTTACTGTCTACTAGTGCTATAACAGTAATGTTTACTGTCTACTAGTGCTATTAACAGTAATGTTGACTGTCTACTAGTGCTATAACAGTAATGTTTACTGTCTACTTTAGGCTGTTGACGGAGACACCGGAAAGAATGCTGAAGTCCATTACAGTATTATTGGCAACAAAGCCAGCGCCGCCTTCCACATCGATAAAGATGGAAATATTCTCACCAGGAGAAGCTTGGATCGAGAAATGGAGACCAAAATTGAATTTTTGGTGATTGCATTTGACAGAGGAGTGCCGCAGCTTAGCGGCACCGCGACAGTTCTTGTACGAGTAGATGATATTAACGATAACCCTCCACAGTTCGACAGGGAATCCTACACTGTTCTGGTGCCCGAAGAGAAAGAACCACCTTTCAAAGTATTTGAAATGAACGTAAGTTGTTACAACACGTAGAAAACAGTAACAACACATCATGTTACGACAAGTAGAAAACAGTAACAACACATCATGTTACAACACGTAGAAAACAGTAACAACACATCATGTTACGACAAGTAGAAAACAGTAACAACACATCATGTTACAACACGTAGAAAACAGTAACAACACACCATGTTACGACAAGTAGAAAACAGTAACAACACACCATGTTACGACAAGTAGAAAACAGTAACAACACATCATGTTACAACACGTAGAAAACAGTAACAACACAACATGTTACAACAAGTAGAAAACAGTAACAACACAACATGTTACAACACGAAGAAAACAGTAACAACACAACATGTTACAACACGTAGAAAACAGTAACAACACACCATGTTACGACAAGTAGAAAACAGTAACAACACACCATGTTACGACACGTAGAAAACAGTAACAACACACCATGTTACGACAAGTAGAAAACAGTAACAACACACCATGTTACGACAAGTAGAAAACAGTAACAACACACCATGTTACGACAAGTAGAAAACAGTAACAACACATCATGTTACAACACGTAGAAAACAGTAACAACACAACATGTTACAACACGTAGAAAACAGTAACAACACATCATGTTACGACAAGTAGAAAACAGTAACAACACAACATGCTACAACACGTAGAAAACAGTAACAACACATCATGTCATTCAGAAAACAAACACTACAACATGCTACGATGTGTTATTCAGAAAACGTTAAAACAATACCACAACATGCTACAACACGTAGAAAACAGTAACAACACAATTTGCTACAACACGTCTTTCAGAAAGCAGTAACACCACAACACGTCATTCAGAAAACAAACACTACAACATGCTACGATGTGTTATTCAGAAAACGTTAAAACAATACCACAACATGCTACAACACGTAGAAAACAGTAACAACACAATTTGCTACAACACGTCTTTTAGAAAACAGTAACACCACAACATGCTACAATACGTCTTTTTAGAAAGCAGTAACACCACAACATGTCATTCAGAAAACAAACACTACAACATGCTACGGTGTGTTATTCAGAAAACGTTAAAACAAAACCAAAACATGCTACAACAAGTTATTCAGGAAACTTAAATAGTGACACTTCAAGATGCTGTAACATGTGTTTCAGAAAACGTCGCTATTAACACCACTAGATGTCGCAACATGTCACTCATAAAACTGTAAATTGAACGATTGTTACAGATTCTACAATTAATTTTAAACCAACGAGAATGATTTCTGGCTGGATATTTCTGACGACCTTATCAATCCTAAAACGCTTGACTTGACTCGTGTTACACACGACAAGTACACATTGTTAAACACTTTTAGATCGAGAACAAAGTTGACCTAATTTTCTGTCCACGTGGTTCCATATTTCTTAGCTCCACGTCATTCTGTATCATGTCCAACAATTCAGTGTATCTCACTAAAGTTTCCTATTCGGTTATCTGATAACGTATCTCACGTTCTAGTGTTGTACTATATTCCTTGAAATCACGGGATAGGGTCGTGTTGTTGGTCGAGTTTGCCATCAGTTTTATTATATTGTTAATAACTAGACACGTTTCTCTGTGAACTCCCTCATCAACAGTCGTTAATAATATTATTTTTATAAAACAAAGATAAATTAAAATTATAAATATTCGCATTTATTTACACTGTGAGCTGAGACCTCCGTTTTTATATTCCATTAACCGAGATCTCCTTATTTATTCCATTAACCGAGATCTCCTTATATCTATTCCATTAACCGAGATCTCCTTATATTTATTCCATTAACCGAGATCTCCTTATTTTCTGTTACATTACAAAGAATGATTAATAGAAATTGACATCATGATGTAAACGATGAAAACTGACAAAGCATTAGAGAACATTATGTCTAAGATCTGTGATAAAAATTACGTAAACAGCAGAAGAATGTAGAGAAAGAAAACACATGTATATTGAAGGTCCACAACCGAAACGTCAGGTAGAAAGATCCCATTCAGCCTAGAAAACACGTGTATATTGAAGGTCCATAACCGAAACGTCAGGTAGAAAGATCCCATTCAGCCTAAGCTTGAAGTTTGAAAGCTAATTTTAAAAATACGGTTTTAACATAAAAACAACAAACATGTTTAGTCTATATTTTGGGCAGGCTGCTGACAAGGACGAGGGTGAAAACGCCTTGATTAAATACAATATCGTCCAAGGAAATGACCACCAGGCTTTTGAGATCGATGAAGAAACGGGGATTGTATACACAGCTGACAAACTGAACTATGAAGACCAACCCCAGTACATTCTTCGAGTAGCAGCAAGTAATCGGAGGGCCTTCCAGGGACCCAAAGCGTCCATAATCGCTAATACTGTGGTGGACTTAGTGGTCAAAGTTCAAGTAAGAAGTTAATGGTCAAGAAAAACTACCATATAAGGCCTGTGTGATGTGTCATTTTCATTAAAATTTTAAATAAATGTGTTACCTTTCATTGTTGCTTCGCTTGAGGTTTAGTTAACAACAAATCAGTGAAGTGTTTCGGAAAGGATGGGCGTGGCTCTCTGCTTTAAACCAATCACATAGGGTTTGGATAGAATAAAGTTAGCTACAGATCAGTGAAGTGTTCTGGAAAGGATGGGCGTGGCTGTCTGCTTTAGACCAATCATA